CAGGGACAATGGAACTGTCCAGGATAAGACTTCAAGTCGCTAAGACGAGCATTTACTCTTTTGGAGCATAGAAGGGCGCGAGCTGACAACAGTAAATGACCTTGAAAAGGAATATCAAGGCAGAGCTCGTACTTCAGGCAGCTACATATTTAACACTGTGCCGATGTTTGCCTCTAGGGCAGTGCTGCTGATGGCTGCTGTCGAAGGGAGTATCGAATGTTGCCATAATAAACACCATGGGCACGGGCATCTCTCACCGGGTCGCAGGGTTGCAATTTTGTCGTAGTTAATAGCGAGCTGGATTTAGAACAGATCAAGGCTCCAGCGTACAACATCGTACAAGAACACGGCTGGTGGTATCCTCTTGAATCTTCATATGGAACCTCACTCATCCTTGGTTCTATAGTTATTGTAGGTACCTGGAAGGTAATAGAGCCTACGGTATATTCAAATGCCACCATCAAGTTGTCTGTAGTAGGTTTGCTTGCATGTCATTATTATATCTGTTCGAAGCCCCTTACTAGTTATGGAACGGGACAGGGCGAAGTCGCAGTTTACGCACCCTCCCGGCCACCCTTGTCGTCAACTTGACATGATATAGCCCTCACGTTTTCTTTATGTAATTAGGCTTCGGTGATCACAATTTGCATTTCAATTTTTCCCCCTTGCCAATGTATCTGACTTGAAGCTGGAAAGACACTGCGCCTCCACATGGCACCCTCGGGGTTAACGTGGGGAAAAGTGCGGGATTTCCCAAGAACCAGGAGTCTTTCTTGCGGGAACAAGATGAAATGACTTGGGTAAATCCATGTCATTTACCCTGGGAAAACCTTCTTGTTAATGGACAGGCTGCTGGAGTCATCTCAGAAGCCATCGCCGCAATATTTCGCCGTATAGTACTTATATTCCAAACAGGATCTGGATCTTCATGAATGGCGTATGTATAGAAGTATATATTCAAATATATATTTCAGTATTCTGCGAGGCCACTACAAAGCACATTGTCCTATGCAGTCGCTGTGCGCGCGCCACGTACTGATTTCCGGGCCGGCTGTCCGAGGGCCTATATCGTTCTCCATCTCCAGAAGCCGCGATAACATCTGAGCTTTGACGAAAAAGACCTTCAGGGCGAGATTCGTTTATCCTTGGATAGAATAGAAGAACCAACTTTAGAAAAGTGGCTACGGAGTACACTCTCTTAGGTATCAAGTATCATGTATGGGGCATGCCCGTATTTGCGATCCGCAGGCCACAAGCAACTTTCTGCCTGGACAAGGCAACGTGGTTGTAATAATAGCATCACAATGCCGTGTTTAGCGTTAATGCTGATGGCTAGCCAGGGGTTACATTCACTTCAGCTCCACTCACCAATCTCTCTGCATGAAGTAGTAATGGATTATTATGGAGCATGAGGAACTCCGTAACATTGGTGTTTTAGTATCCCGTCTCCTGGAGATTCGATTCTGTTGAAGGGATGGCTCGGGGACGAAGGGCCACAGCTAACACGACCCCGAGGCCCCGTGTCAGTTTGCTCAAAGGAACACCTTCGGCTGACAGTTTCGGTCACCAGTGAGTTCTGCTTGTTTGCTGGCATCGATTTTTAGCCTGCTTAAGGTTCGGGAGCAAGAATCAGGCGGGCCAGGGGGGAATTCTTATCCGCTTCCTCGTGGCGTACGCAGCCTCCACTCGCTCCTAGCTTGGGGGGGGGGGATGAAAGCTATACTTAAGTATATTATTATTAATAGCAGCGGGAGAGATGAGCAAAGACGGGTTGGAGAGAGAAAGGGAGATTTAGAGGACAACAGGGGAGGGAGACAGGGCTTTGCTTCTGCTTCTTTTTCGACCTTCCATCTAGGTGCTTCTCGGTTCTTTGAAAGTCAAATTCGTTTGTTTTGGACAAATAGAAACCCATGTTTCTCGGTGTTGGACCGGCATGGAATCCTAATGGTCAAGGGAGAGCGAGAGCTCACATTTCGCGAGTTAGTTGTCAAGATTTTCTGCATGAGTATATCTCGTGGGAGCTCGCCAAAGACGACGGTGGTCCAGTTTCATGACTCAATATGGCAGTCGGCAGTTATGCTTAATCGTTTTGACTTGTCGTTAGTATATAGCCGGAACAAATGAAACAACCACATGGCGGGAAGGTCTAAATCCCGGGCTTCTTTTCCCTTCTTTCCTGCATTTCCTTTGGTTTCAGAGAGGAATTGGCCTATTCAAGCCACTCGATACGCTCAATCCCGGGATGATGCTTTTGGTTTGCTGGCTCAATTCCTCCAGCCCCAACGCACGTATGAAGCAGAACAAGGATTAAACAAGCGAAGCCACCCAGAACCTCGCGCGGGTTCGGGAGGATAATCCGTGTGCTTGATGGAGTCTTCTGCAACATGCTTCATGCTACACTGCACGCACACGCTACGTGCATATTTGTTCTCCACCGACGTGGCAAGAGCTGGATGATAGGGGCGTGAGAAGAGAGAGAGACGAGAATGGGGGAAACCTGTCAGTGGAATGGAGACCGCCGTAAATTTATCCTCGCTGCTGGATAAAAAAAGATCAATACGGGCACCACTTCTTGGTGAAGCCCGTATAAACCCACTGGCGCATCAGCGAACCTGCCGAAATAAACCTTCGTATTGGCTATGGTTTCGAGAAACAAAAATAGAAAGGAAACGGAAGCGAGTCCTATCGACTATCCTGTAAGTACACAGAAGCCTCTTAAGCACAATACTCGGGTTGGGAAGAAATACACCATTTGGCAGCATACAACGAAGACGCTTGTTTAGGTCGCTGAAGATCATTTCTTGTGAGTTCCTCGGATGTTTCAGCCGCGCAAGGCTAACACAGATGATATGCGCAACGGCGAGCGCATCCTTTGCTTCTTGAGTAAATGCTAACGAGGAAAGAAGCCTAATATGTATTATGTGCATAAGCTAGCAAGTAAGTGAGTGTGTGTGTGTTGAATAAGGCCAAAGGAATAGGGATGTAGATGATACTCCTCCCCTGCGGTTGCCGATAGCCAATGCATGGTCAAATCATAAATATATTTGGACATCTTAAGGTGTACCAAGGACAGGCATCTTTGTGAACGAGCCAGCCCCCCAAAGCGTCGTCTCCACCAGGTCTTGTCCATCCGCATCTTTTTCCCCACACGGTATTATGGAGTAGGATATGCACGCGAGGGTGGGAGATCGTGAAATGTAGCCGTGAGAGTCAAGAGACTGGTTGGGAAAAAAAATGGACCTTTTTCTGCGGCAAATGTGGATAGGAAAATCATCGGTATTATGACTGACAGAAGTCTCCTCCCATTCCCATCATAGAAAAGGAATGAGAAAGAGGATTCCCAGCGGAAAGCCCGGTAATAGGAAAAATAAATGGGGTAATTTGCCGAAGGCAGCTTGCTGATTGATCAACCTTAATGCTCGGATTTGCATGGCGAGGCGTTTTGGCGACTCTGCAAGAGAAACGTCTTTCTAGCCCTTCGCAAGGCCCATGGGATTCAGCACCGGGGGTCTTCTGGTGCGGAGGAAGAAGATTTTGGCGTGTAAGGCAGAACTCGAAGTCAACCAGGGCCATCTCTTGGCCCAAGTGGGCAGGGAGGAAGAATTAGAATACGGAGGAAAAGGGAACCTAAATTGGTTGAAGCCGCAGCGAAGAGTTTAAGAAAGTGCCTGAACATCTGCGATGCTCCCCCTTGAATGAGATGAACCGAGGCGCCACAGAAATGAGCTTGACATTTGCCCTCGAATCATGGTGGCCAATGTGTTGGGATAGCGCCGATTATTGGAGGATGGCGTCCCATTGTCAAGCCAGGCCAGCATGAAATAAGATAGATGTGCCCGCCCGCCACTTGTTTCTTTTCTTTTATCACAACACTGCTTTCGAGGAGATCCTATCCCACGTGTAGACCTTGAATACGACTTTGCCTGCACTTGACAGGGTACCGTAGAGATTTGAGATGCTCGAGTGACTTACGTCAAGATTCGTCCCGCTGCTAACGATGGATAAAATAGCGCTAATCGGCCTATGAATTCCTGCTGTTTCGAAACTGTATCGCCATATATTTCCCTGTCGTTGCATACATAGTATGTATATGTATCAATTTTATAGATGCCAGTTCACCGTGAGTTTGCTGGGGAGGGGGGTGCATAATACCCTCAATCCAACCAATAGTGTTGGACTAGATTGCTTTGAACGTTGTATCTATGTATACCACTGCGGAAGTTTCAGGGACCTGGTACCGAACATTTCCTTTTTCTTTTCCATAATTCTCCATTTCGTACGAGAGATTAAGCTCAGGGTGTCGCTGGGAACGGTATTTGAAAGTAACCGAGTAACCGGGCCGCGGGTAGAAAATTCATCTTCGTATGATATAGCTTTCAAACCAGGGAGCACAAGCTGTTGAAAGGCGTCAAAGGGCCTTTTATTTCTGTTTGACCTAGACCAGATCCGGTATTTCAACTGTTCCATGCATGATAAGACTGCCGACGTAGTATTTGCAAACAAGCTAAAGCTTATATGCAGAGTAAAGAGGTATACGGTCCACTCATGCATGAGCCTTGCAGATCAAAATTTCGCTCCGCCATCGTACATGAGATGTGGTACATGTTAGACATGGGCCATATATGGCACCAGATTGGGACATCAGGCTGGGCCCACGAACCTTGCCTGTTTATACCATCTTCCCCTCTGGGAATTCCCCTTGGCGCCTGTCGTATACTTGACGCTTGTCGGATGCACTGGAAGACAGAATAAGAAGCCGATTGTCCTCCCTGCGATAAGATTTATACCCAGCAGCATCTCGACCATTCATGCCTCATCTCTGGATTCTTTTGTCAACTGCTGCACTCCTCTCCAACCTCCCTGATTCAGAAAGGGGTAGCTCTCATCACTGACAGACGAGTATCACCTCCTCTTCTTATACTTCTCAGTGGTGCACGTTTTATTCTGCCAATACCCTTCTCCCGGCCCGAGCCTTTTTGTTCAGATCCCACGATCCCACGATGATGAAAGTAAGGGCACGACGGCTTTGGACGAAGGAGGAGGATGCTCTCCTACGGAAAGCCGTCAATGAAAGCAGTAAGTTCTGATGGTAGTGACCAGCGGATTTGACGGGAGCTGATCATTCTTTTTTCCAGTGGCTAGAGGTGGTGATATCAACTGGCATCGCATAGCCTCAAACATCCCAGATCGAAATAACAAGGACTGCCGGAAACGATGGGTCTATATTCTAGCGCCTTCCTTGAACAAAGGAGCGTGGAATAAAACGGAAGATGAAAAGTTATTGCAAGGCATCCAGAAACACGGTTTCCGGTAAGCAGACCACTGGCCTTTTCATCTCGTCTCTGAGCTATTCTCGTCCGCTAATACAAAATTTTCAGCTGGGCTCTCGTTTCACAAGTTGTCGGATCTAGGCAGCCCGATCGTAAGTTCAACCTACATATTCAATCTGAATTGACAGCCATTAACTTTATTTCTGAGTAGAATGTTCAAGGAGGTGGCATGAATCGTTAAATCCAGAAATAAATAATGACAGATGGTCACTCCTGGAAGACGAGATATTGAGGGAGGCCGTAGAGATCTATGGTAGGAGATGGACCGAGATTGTGGATAGATATTTCCCCAACAGGACGCCGATTGCAGCAAAAAATAGGTTCGTTGTACTCAGTCACATAAATTTCGTTGCCCGTTCAAATGACGTTTCTTTCCCTAACATGGTTCCGGTTGTTAGATATACGCAACGCTTTGGTAGCAATAAAACCGATGGGACAGTACCGAAGCCTTCCGGAAGTGCCACCAAAAAGAAAAGCCCGATGGTGAAGCCGACCACCAGTCCAGTGACACGCGTTGAAGAGACTCGAGCTCCTTGTCAAACGATAATGCCTAAACTCCTCTGGCATGTCCCAGATCATACCCAGAGTCAGCAAGCCCGGCTCCCAGCTCCCCCAAAAGTAACGGTCCCTGAGGTATGGCCTACCAACGATACCCAATCGCCTTTGACAGCAGTCCCCTCTTATCAACAGGTCCCGAGCCTCACAAGCTCACCGAGTCCTGTGCCTATTCCGCACACTCCTTTGATTGACCCAATCCGCCCTTGCGAGCCAACAAGTATGTCTCCTTATTCATATTACACCGTCACATCACCGCAGGCAGAGATGTGTACGCCATCATTTGTGGATCCACCACTCAATGGCAACTTTGGCTACGAGCCGTGGGTTTCAAACGATATGATATCTCTCCTCCATAATGGGGTAGTGGGATATCCAGATATGGGATACAGCACCAACGTTCCGACGATGGAGCGACGATATGACCAGATTAGATTTTCGGATCACACGACTTTATTGACTTTGTAGACAATGGCTATACAGAGGGTATATAGCAATGAAAAAGCGGAGTTTTGGCGGAAATATGGGTGTTTAAATCGTCGTCCGTTGTTCAAGTTTCAAAATAACCTTTTTTAATCGATGAAATATGTATATAGACCTATGATTGATACAAACGTTAGAACTTTCTTTTCTTTTCTTTTTTGGCATCGTTCCGTCGCCTCTCTACATAATGTTAGCTCTTGGCCTTCGATTCCGCCTTAGTTGCAACGTGCCTGCAGACGCCTCTGGTCGAGGGGCTTTCTCGCATGCATCATAGCCGTGAAGCCAAAACATCTGCTTGAATCCCACTGGAGGGATCATCCATGTTTAAAATTTTGGCTTTGGTTGATTTGGATTTTCGAACGATGGTGGAAGCATCGATGTTCCTGTATTTTGATCGGATGGCAGGCCTCTGTAGCTGAGACACGGTGAGTGTAGTTGCTGCTCTAGGTGCAAGGAAAGACTGCAAGTGAACTGAAAGACTGGTTGGATTTAATAATACAAGGCTAAGCTTTAACCGACCTATCTATATTTAGATTTTGTATGCCGTCTTCGTCTGTTGTTCGTCCAGATTGTCCTATCGTTTTCCATAGTTCAGGATACGCGACTTGCGCCCACTCTTCGGCCTGATCTTTCCAGAATTGGTATGGTAATGAGTTGTAGAGATTTACGAGCCTGTGAACGTTTGATAGTTAGTAATGTAGAACACGCCTGACGATAAAGGTACTTAGCATACGTGAGTGTAGTTGGTGCGGAGCCAGTCTGTGACTCCATTTGCTTGATGGCTTGGACTGCGAGTTCCAGCTCACAATGGCCGCCAAGAGCGCCAACATATGCATTATAAACTTCATCATTGATTAATATATCCATGGATTTCAGTTTCTCCATCATTTTAGTCGCCTCTTCACGGCCGTTGCCGTATGATTCGCAGACCCTGAAAAATATAACTAGAGTTCGTTCGGAAGGACCTTCTTCTGAGTGAAGTATGTGTCTGAAAATTCTCATTGCTTGATCTGCTAGCCCGCATGCAGCATAGGCCAGCATCAAGCTGTTGCGGATTTTGGTAGTTGGAGCAACTTGGAGATCAAGTTTTAGCATATTGTGAACTAATTGTAAACTTGCTGAGTCCGCGCACTTTGCAATTCCTTGGAAGCAGCGGGCATAGGTGTAAGAATTTGGTCGGATATTAGGGTCACCCTTTTGTCGCATATGACCGAAGACTAGACAGGCAAGGTCAGGTCTCTGGCGCTCGAAAAAGATATTCATGATCATCGTCCTTGTCGAAACGGGCGTTGTTGGTATAGCTAAGTTCAAAAGTTCATATACCTCCCATGCACTGTCCACGGTTTGATCCATATCTTTGATATAATCAAGGAATGGCAATCTGATCTTTTGAAGCTCCAATGGATCGAAAGTGTCAATTATTGGTCGGAGTAAAGTTGATACACCCTCTAAGTCGCCTCGGTGAAGCAGTGATTTGCAAAGAGTGCTGAGGGTCATTGGGTCAAACCGGCCGCCCACGCCCTGCAATATATCCACAAGAGTGTTGACGGTATCAAAGTCGATTGAGGAATTCTCCACCAAACAGAGTTGTTTGATAAAGTCATTCAAGAAATCAACGTCTGATAGATCGAATTCCACGTCCGGGCTGAGTGATTGGAACAATTCTGCAGCTTCCGTAATTTGTCCAGAATAGACCAGTGAGTGTATCTGTAGAACAAATGTTCGAGCGTTAGGAGTTAAATTCCAAACCCGTGCCACTTGGATAGCCTGTTGGGCAATAATTGCCTGTTTGTGCAGGTTTGCGTATTCGATTATCATGTTGATCATGTCAATTGACATGGTGGTTCGTATCTCGGGGTTTTTTGCAGTCATTTCATCAAGCTGTTTACAGACTGAATCTGAGGAGCGTCCCCTCAAAAAGGAAAAGAGGAGGAGTGCGTCTCTGGTTTCTGGAGTTGGATACGACGGAAATGAGCTCACTATCGTTGCTGCCCACGAGTACATAGCATGCCGTAACGCGAACTTGAGCAGATGTACGTTTGTGGCCGTTGACTTCTCAATAGGAAGTTCAGCCACAGTCTTAATCGTGTGGGAATAGTTGCTGTCCGCTAGCATGGAGATCAACTGCTCCTGTCGCTCCGTATCCAATGTGATACCGCACTCCTTCATTTTTTCCAACACCATTGTGACTTTTGATGGAGTATTTTGCTCAGCACCTAGACGCCTGCTTTCTTTCGCAAATCCTTTCATGATATTAGCCCAAAGTGACAATCCATTGCTCAGATCTGGCGTGGTTTTCCAGTAGGTAATGGTGAGCTTTAATGCATCGGCAGAAAATCCGGTGGATGAGAGAACTGTGATGTACGACTTGAACACCTCGAGACCAGGCTCCGGTGTTAACTCTGGAGTCCTCTCACGTATTCTACGTATCTGGCCCATCGCAATCCTTGCCAAGTCATTAACCAGCTCGGCAGCATCTGGAGTGAAATCTGCTCGTGCCAGTGCTTCTAACGTATATTCAAAGTTTTCCAGTTCCAGGAATTCCCGTAAAGAGCCCTGGGGATCCTTTGAAGGGACACTTAAAATATGCTGAAAGGTGCGCAGAAGGAGCTCCGCCTGATAACGTGTCAAAGTAACTTGACCGAGTCGTTTATCTATAAACCGCATGAATCCCGTCGCGAGAATGAAAGGAGGCGGAGGCCGCGACTGCTGCTCCAGAGCATGTACCAGCTGCACCATAGGTTTTGATCCATATTCCGAGGCGTCATTATGTTTCCCAGTGTTGGTCTCTGTCACTCGCCGAATGGATGGGAAGCTGAATATATGTCTCCTCTGGCTGGAGAGGAGCGGGCGAAACGAGTGGGAGCGTGACCTCGCGGAAGAAAGAAAGTGCCTGTAGCATCTTGAAGCTACAAACGGCTTGTTCGTGAGAAAAGTATTGAACATTCCGGCCATATTGAGGCGCCGAGTTGGTGTGATTGTCCGGTTTCAGAGCTGAGTTGAAGCTGGTTAGAAATACTCAGATCTTTGCTGGCTTGTGGGTATAACTTACTGGATATGCATTCTATCGATCCGGAGTCATAGCATATGCCTGACTATCTTCAATTGAACCGGCGATGCTCGGTGTAATCATGTCCTGTTAGTCCCTTCACGCCGTTTGGTCAAGCTGGAGGTTTTTTTATGCTTCTTGAAGCTTTGAAGAAACGCGAGGGTGTCAAGGCTTGGCATTTTTGACCGAGCTAAGCCATATAAAAAAAAATCTCTTGCTAGACAACGACGAAGGACGTTTCGAGGCAGCAGATCAAGCCGTCACATACCATTTCTTGGGCATATAACAGAGTCATTCTTATTGCCCAGGCCCGCAATGGCTACCAAATTGACCACCTGCCGTCCGATCCTCTGCCAGCTGACAGGCTTCACCCCCCGGGTCTCCTGTCGGTCTAACTCAGGCTTTGGAGGAATCACCTTGAATCCAGCGACAGGTAAGCCATACAACTGTCTTCGATGTCGTTATAGACTTTCTTTGGGAGTTACTTGATCTAACTCTTGCAAATTTATAGACGCCAGACTCCGCGGTATCCGACGGAGACAGCTTCAGAACCAACAATTCGAGGCAGAGAGAGCCCGGGAACAGCGAGCCTTCGACCTACAAAAACAGCAGACCAGAACATGGCAACCCGGCGACGTGTACTCCCCGCGTGATTTGAGCCCGGCGGAAATGAAGAAATGGAAGAAACGACGCAATCCTACGACTGATATTTTCGACGCTCTATCGCTGAACCCTCTACACATGTACAAGGTATTTGCGAGGATTTCTCTCCGTCAATTTACCGCTTAAACCAAAAAACTTCAGTACTAATAGCTTTGCGCTGCATGTTAGAACATCGCCGTTATGTCTGAATACGTGACCGAGACAGGCCGGATCAAGTCAGCGAGGGATACCGGCCTACGACGAATCAACCAAAGGAAGCTCTCCAAAGCTATTAGGAGAGCTGTCAGCATGGGGCTGATGCCCAGTGTTCACCGGCATCCGGAAATTCTCATGCTCGAAAAGAAGCTCTAAGCCTGCACTGTCACTGTTTTCCCGCATGCCCTGTGGTGTTTGAGATGATTACCAGATGTATACTACGCACTAGACTCGACTGTTTTCTATCTACCCGACTGTATAAAAGACGATTTCACTACCATTAGCCGGCTGTTTCAGCAAACATGGCCCCTTTTTCATGCCTCCTTTGACCCTGATATTCATCTATAGTTAACGTCGTGGTTTTATATCGCCTTATTCAGCATCAAATGCTGGCTGCCCCGCCCGGATACTTTTGTTCTCTCCAACTACTCGACTTACTAGACAGCGCACCTCTATAGAAAATAGGCAAACACAAGCAACATAATTTCTAGATTCAAGATGAGCATCAAAAGCGGTATGATTAAGATTCAGGCTCCCTTTTCGCTACCGGTAGCTGACAAGCTGTTAGATTCTACATGGGCTGCCTGCCCGTCGACAACCCGAGGGCAGCCAACCCAGCTCTCGTCTGACCCAAAAGGAGAACGGTTAGCCTACGCGGTAAGGATGTCTTTGGACTGTGTCTCCGGTGTGATTGCGCGATTGGAATAGCTATAATCTGACTATCTGCGGTTTAACAGTCCAACAGGTCCATATTCCTTCGCTCAATAGACAACCCTTCGGTTTCAACTCAGTACACAGCCCACACTGCAGAGACGACCGTTGCCCGATTTTCACCCTCCGGATACTACGTTGCTAGCGGAGACGCATCTGGTATTGTGCGTGTGTGGGACTGCGTCGGAGAGGGTGTCACAAAAGGAGAATATTCCATTGTGAGCGGGAGAATCAACGACCTGGCCTGGGATGGCGATTCGCAGCGCATAATTGCTGTCGGTAAAGGTAACCAGCGATTTGGGCACTGCATAACGGCGGATAGCGGCAATACTGTTGGTGAAATAACGGGGCATAGTCAGGTTATCAA